CAGTCTGGTTTTGAGGATCCTGTTTGTGACGGCAAAAACTGTTGGGGTTTCAGGGAAACTTGCCCTTTTCCCCTTGGTTGATTTGCTGAAAAGATCAACTCACAGTTATGGTAGATCAATAAGAGAAAGATTTATTTCCAAATACCATGTGCCTAGGGGTAACCAAAAGAGTGAGTTCCCCCTGGCTATTTTTTTGTTGCAATTTGGCCAGGCCAGGTGTGAACCCGCCACCCTTGGTATATGGCGCTGGCACCATACCCATTGAGCCACAGGTGCTGCCCTGGAGAATCTTCTTAAAATGGCCACTTTGGTCTTTTATAACTGAGATCAGGAGAAAGAGGAGGAAAAAGAGAGAAGGGATAGAAAAAGAACGGCAGCTCTAGTAATGGCCCTCCAGCCAACGAGCACCATTCAGGGGCAGAGGGAAGCCAGAGGAGCTAAGGGCAAGTCTGGCCTCCACTGGAGTGTGGCCTGTCCTCAGAGGCCTGTCCTCTGGGAACAATGATCCCATCAGCACCCAAACCGGACTGAGGATGCCCATGGCAGATTCTCGTGCCTCCAGCTTGTGTCATCACCCCTCAAGAGCCTCAGGTCTGCCTCATGGTGGAGGTCCAGGAGACAGAATTTCTTCTGGATACTGGAGCAACCTTTTCTATACTTCTCTCTAACCCTGGCATTCTATCCCCCAAATCTGTAACTATATAGCAGGTGTCTGAAAAACCGGTTACCAGATTTTTCTCTCAGCCTTTAAGCTACAGTTGGGGTGACTGGCTGTTCTCACACACCTTCCTATTCATGCCTGAAAGTCCTGCTGCCCTTTGGGGAGGGACATACTAACTAAAGTGGGAACAACCATTTATATGAACATGGGACAAGAACGTATTCTATGCCCTCCCTTATTAAAGACAGGAATTAACCCAGAAGTGTGGGCTACTGAGGAACAGGTGCAAAGAGCAAGACCCAATCCAGACATGGTTTTTTATACAGACGGAAGTTCTTTCGCAGAACAATGAACTCACAAAAGCAGACTATGCTGTAGTTACTCAGTGTGCTGTAATTGAGAGTGGGTCTCTCCCTTCAGCAACCAGTGCACAATTAGCTGAGCGAATAGCTTTCCCTGGTGCTTTAGAAATTGGGAGAAACAAACGAGTCAATATATGCGCTCACTCAAAATCTGCCTTCCTCATTCTGCTTGCCCACGTTGCTGTTTGGAAGGAAAGACAACACCTAACTTCCCGGGGCTCCCCCTGCGAAGTAGACAGGTGGTTACAAGCCGTTCGTGCTCCACAAGAAGCAGCAGTTACTCATTGTCAGGGACACCAAAAGACCTTCGGTGAGATTTCTGAAGGTGACCAACTTGCTGGTAAAGAGGCTAAAATGGCAGCACAAAAGGGAGAGATTCCCCTTGTGGCCCCCCCACATTTGGTGGGGAGCACTTGAGAATCATGCACCTCATATACCCCAAAAGAAAAGGAATGGGCTTTATCCAGAGACTGTTCACTACTTCCATCAGGCTGGCCACAAAATAGAAGTGGACTTCTGCTATTACCTGCCGCAAGCCAATGGAAAATACTTCAAACTTTACATGAGTCTTTTCGTTGTGGCACTGAAAGTACCTATCAAATGGCTAAGGTTCTCTTTAATGGAAAAAACTTATTTAAAACCATAAAACAGATAGATAACAAGGACTTGTAAGATATGTCAGAGAAACAGTCCTTTAAATCACCATCTAGCTCCCCCAGGTATGCAGAAACAAGGCAAATATCCAGGTGAAGGTTGGCAAATGGATTCACTCACCTCCCTAAGGTTCATGGTATATAATATTTGCTGGTATTTGTGGATACTTTTACTAATTGGGTTGAGGCATTCCCTTGTGGGACAGAAAAGGTCCAGGAAGTTGTAAAGGCTTTAGGACATGAGATTATCCCCAGGTTTGGGCTTTCTCAGAATTTGCAAAGTGATAATGGGCCGGCCTTCAAAGCAGCTGTTACACAGGGAATAGCTAAGGCCCCGGGCATAAAATATCTTCTGCACTGCTCTTGGAGGCCCCAGTCCCCTGGGAAGGTAGAAAAAATGGATGATAAAATCAAAGGACAGTTACGAAAGCTAACTCAAGAGACTCCTCTCCCTTGGACTAAATTGCTTTCCATTGTTCTTAGAAGAAGAAATTTACCTCAGAAACTTGGTTGTAGCTCATTTGAATCATTATATGAACGACCCTTTATAACAATTTGTTATTAGATCAAGAAACTACAGAATTAGTAAAGCATATTACTTCTTTAGCTAAATTTCAACAAATCCTTAAAAAGCTCCCACCTACATTTTCACATTCAACACTAACAGAGCTCTTCTCTCCTGGAGATCTGGTTATGATCAAAACTCTTCCCTCTAATTCACCTTCCCTAACCCCAATTTGGGAAGGTCCGTTTCCTGTTATCCTGTCTTCCTCTACAGCTGTTAAATTTATGGGAATAGATTCCTGGATCCAGCATTCACAAGTAAAGTCCTGGAACCCACCATCTCCTACAGAAGCAGACCATGATGAGAATCAATCACCCTCCACCTACACTTGTGAGACTAAAGAAAATTTAAAGTTATTGTTTAGGAGACAGCAAGAAAATATAGTTTAATATAGTTTTCTTTTAAACATCACTGACTTTGTTCTTCTAACCTGACACTGTAATTAACCCCCTCCTCTCACTGTTCTACCCTTGCCCTTTAATGTGCTAGTCAGATTTGTGTCTTCCAGAAATGTCAGCAAGCCACACACAGTAAAGATGGTTCCAGTCCAAGACTTGATTCTATCGCACACCCCTGGATCACTCTCCCTCCAGAGAAACCCTAACTGCCCCCTTCTATCATTGCCCGATTCAGCAGGAAGCAGTTAGATGGAGTCTTCATCCTTTTTCCCCAACGGCAGTTAGAGTCTCTACGGGGAGAGGGAGAGTTGACACAGGGCAGGTGGCTCCTCAGCCAGCTCGGTGGAGCTGAGGGGAGGGCCTGCTACCTCCACCCTGGCGGTGTTGGTGTGGTGGCAGCCGGTGGAGGAACCAGTGGGCTGGGGGTGGGCTGAGGGTGGGCTGGGGGGAGCCCCACAGGAGGCTCCAGTAGCCAAAGGGGCCAGACAGCTGCTGGGGAGACACCAGCACCTTAGAGTCTCCCTCCCCTTGCACTTGCCGCTGAGTAGGGAACCCCCATTTCCCAGCCTGGTCATATAGGTTTCCTAGGCCTGGGAACCAAAGGGATCAAATCCATTCATTTGCTACTGAGTTCACACTAAATGTAACTACAGAGGACCCATGCAACCACACACACACACACACACACACCCCCCCCCCACTGGACAAAGAGCCTGGAGAGAGCGACAGAGAGAGAGCTCCCCCCCTACTTGGGTTGTTTTTTTCTGCCAGGAGCTTTGGTGATTTTCTATGTTTTTTTTTTTTTCCCTGTAAAATAAAATAAATCCTATCTTACCACTGATCTGTGGTCTGTGGATTCAGTCTTCGAATCACCGAGACCAAGAATCTGCTATCAGTGGCACCTGCTGGCACACTCTCACTGGTCTGGTCAGTGGCACCTGCTGGCACACTCCCACTGGTCCGGTCAGTGGCACCTGCTGGCACACTCCCACTGGTGCGACCCGCAGCTTAGGACTGCCTAAGAGGTGGCCACACCCGGTGTGCAGTAGTTCGGTCCTGGAAATCCAACCTGGAGGACATCTTCAGAAAGGCAAACAAGGGTGCTCAGCACGGAGAGGTTAAAAACAGCCAAAATTTGGAAGCCCCTTCAATTTGCTCCGTGATTTGCACTTACTCCAGAAAGGGATAATCAAAACATTGTGACCGGCTGTGAAACCAACGATTGTGAAAACATTGACACGTACCATGAGAAAATGCTGGCTTTAAGATGATCAGGCTTTTAGAGGTGAGACATCAAAACCGAACAAAGTATCTTGCCAAATGTACGCTCAGAAAAAGCAGCAGGGTGTGCGACAAACAAGGAGTGTGGCTGCCTCTGGGAGGCACTGAGACCTCCCTGTGCCCCTCGCTGTAGAACGTGTATTTCTGCAACATTTTAGAATAAATTCGCCTTACTCCCACATTCAGAAAGATTTTATTCTGCTGAAAGGTTTGAGAGTGGAATTATTTTATGTAACATTTTTCCTTTAAACTGCAAAGAAGCCACAGGTGATGGTTAGTACTCTGAAATTTAGAGGATGGGAGAAAGAACACCTGAGCTTAATAATGAAAAATGACGTGCTGTGTGGCCACACGTGTAGCCCCAGTTACTTGGGAGGTGGAGGCGACAGGATCCCTTGAGCCCAGGAGTTGAGACCAGTGTGGGCAACATAGCCGGACCCCATCTCAAAAATAAGAAGAGATGGGTCAGTAGACCGGGGCATGGTCTCCGCATTTACCGGCCAGTCTGCTCTGATCTGGTGGTCACCTGCTTCCCTAAGCGGGCTTTGACTTTCTCCAGCAAGCTGTGAATGTGAATTTAACTCAAACTGGAGGTGAGGGTAGGAGAAGGGACGTGAGTTTTCATGGGGGAAGGGCAGGGATGGTAAAACCGTGGAAAAGTTGGTGGGTTTTCAGGTGCTCCTGGTAGAGGGAGACACTCAGGGGTGAAGTGCCTCCCAGGACGGGCTGGCCAGTGCACATGGCTTTCAGCTTTTGTACACACCTGCCTGGGCCTGCATGTGTTGTGGGGAGCTGACGTGGATCCCGGGCTTCACAAACCAGAAGGTTACTTGGAAGGCTGAGGCCCAGCGGGAGAGGGTGGACTGCACCCGCATTGCCTTGGCCAGGGGAAGGCTCCCAGGGAGCGGCTGGTGGGAATATCGGCATTTTTCTGGCTTTAAACTGCTGAGTGGCTGGCTGGTCTGTTACTCCATACTGAGGACACACACAGTTCATAGGACCGCAAAAAGATTCTAAGCCCCTCCTAATGAACGAAATTCTGCATCTCCTCCTTGGGGGAGCAGCCTAGGAGGTTGGGGTTCAGGCTGCTCCCTGGGAGGGCCCCAGAGCCTGGAGCTTGATGGCCACCTGCTGGCTGACCTTGTGCAGGGCCTCCTGGAACTGGGGGTAGTCATCCTGCACTTGGTGGAGGATGGTAGCAATGAGGCCCATCCGGCCGTCCAGCCGCTGTTGCTCGGCCTGCAGGGCCTCCTCCGAGCGGAACAGGAACACATAGCGCCCCTCCCTCACTGCCTGCAGGTGCTTCACGCGGGTCTGCAGGGCCACGATCTCCCTCAGGTTCTGAGCAGGAAAACAGAGCCTGTGTCAGGCCACACAAATCAGAAGGACGACACCCGCCCCTCTCCCGGACCTCCACATAAGCTCCGACTAGAGATGTGGCCAGGAGAAGGGACGTCCACCTGAGAGGGGTTGCCTGGGAAGGCATCCAGTCACCTGACTCCCAGTGGGTAGGTTGGAGCTGTCACCTAGAAGACATTCCTGCCATCTGCCATGCACACAGCTCTGTTATTCTCTCCCCTGTCGCAGCCAACCAGGCTGGGACCTTGGCATCGTTCTCACCCACTCTGCTCACACCACGTCCAGTCCAGCAGGAAACCCCCCCACCCCACCCCCGCGGCAGCTCCTAAATTAGGTACATGCAGAATCTCGGCAGCTTCTCATCAGCTACCCAGACCCTGTACTCCTGTCTTCCTGTAGCACTGAGGACCTCAAACGGCCTCCTGGGTCCACCCTTGACCCCTCCTGCCAACCCAACACCAGCGCTGGAGCTGTCCTCCCAGCGAAGCCCTCTGCTCAAAGAAAAGCCCAGAGTCATGACCAAGTGCCATCACAGTCTGGTGGGGCCGCCTGTGCCCCACCCTGGGTCCTGCCCCGCTGGCCTTGCATCGTCCCTGCCTTTGCTGGGCTGTCCCCGCTGCCTGAGGCAGCCTCCACCTTGCATCCAGCAAGTCTTTTTTTTGAGACGGAGTCCCACTGTGTGGCCCTTGGCAGAATGCTGTACAGCAACCTCAAAATATTGGGCTAAGTGATTCTCTTGCCTCAGCCTCCCGAGAAGCTGAGACTATAGGTGCCAGCCACAGGGCCCGGGTATTTTTGTTGTTGTTGTAGTTGTCACTGTTGTTTGACTGGCCTGGGCCGGGTTCAAACCCACCAGTTCTGGTGTCTGTGGCTGGCGCTCTACCCACTGAAATTCTGGCGGCTGTGTGGCTTTCCTGGACCACCCTAGTCAAAGCCCCAGTCCCTCCTCCCACTCCATGCCCTGGAGGCTCCTTTCTCTGCTGTATGTTTTTCCAAAGCATTTATCACTGTGGAACACACCATCTCTTTCTTATTTTATTGCCTGTCCTCCTGCCCCCGGAATGCAGCCTCCAGCTGGACAGGGAGTTCTGTCTGTTTTGCTCTGTTCTGTAACCCGAGCGCCTAGGGCAGGCCCTGGCCTGGAGTAGACATGTGGTCAGTGGTGATCCAAGGAGGATGTGAGTCCCTGGCACTGATCCTGTCGGCCTGGGCCTCACTGGATCCTGAGGCACAGTACTGTGCCATGAGCAGTGCAGTCCCCTGGGGACCTCCTGGGACTCGCTCACCTGTCGCTTGAGGGCTGTGAGCTGGTCGAGGTTGGCTTCGAGCACATCTAAGTCTGCCTGCAGGGCTGACAGCTGCTGCTGCCGCTTCAGGAGTGAGCTGCTCACGCTCTTCTGAGTCTCCTCCAGCTCCAGGACGGTCTTGGTGCACTCCTCAGTGGCCTGGGACATAAACGGCCCATGCTGTGCCCTGCACCGTGGCTGCTTGGCACGCAGAGCAGGGGCAGGCTGGGTGGACCTGCTGGGCGCTTTCTAAAACTGCAGTCCAGGCAGACCCCAAGGAGGACCTGGACTTGCTGCCCTTCAGGAATGGGCTACCTGGGCAGGTGGGTACCCATGAGGCACCAAGGCCTGGTGAAGCCCCTGTCACACACAGACTGCTCTCCCAAGGCAGGTGAGGCTCAGAGAGAGGCTGGGGCCTGAGTGGCCCCTGGGTCCTCTCCCTGCAGTGGGTCTGACTGGGGACAGCTCAACAGCTGTGTGCTACGAGCAGGGCCAGGGCCACAGGGCAAGGTGGGCTGGGGAGTGTGGGAAGGATGGGTCAGGCTTCTCTGCAGAGTCCCCACAGGTCACAGCACTTTAGGGGCATCTGTGGCAGCCTGGTGTAGGTCCCACAACCAGGGGAAGCAGCACAGTCAGAAGAAAAAGAACCTGGTGGCTGACAGGCCCAGCGCGGTGAGGGGGACAAAGAACCGTGATGCTCAGGATGGGCTGGGGCACCTTGGGTAGGACTGCAGAGTCCAGAGAAGGGACCTGTCTGCACGTCTGCGCGTGGCTGGGGGTGGGGGGCAGGACTCAGCATTGTGTGGAGTGGATGTGGGGTCAGGGTGGGGGTGGAGGACAGAGAGGGCACCCAGGGCAGTGAGGAGAGGACAGGAAGCATGAGGTCAGGGGTGGACATTAGGAGTTGCCAGTGTGGCCAATGAAGACTGAGAAGAGGCTGCTCTGTGTCTCTCTCCAGAAACTTCTGGAGGCTTCCAGTAACTTCCAGATGAACAGGTCGAGCATATCTGTCTTTTTCCACTGACCTTTCCCTTGTATGGGACATACCCTACAGGAGCTATTTTATTACTCTGTGGAATTATCTGGGTGACCCCAAGAGGTGGACGCTGATTTCTTGGGTCTGTAAACCCAGGTCAGTCCGCCCCAGCCCTGAGTGGAACAGGAGGATCTGAGGCCATGCTCTCAGCTGTCTCTGGTGCCACACGGCCAGGCTAAGGGGGCCATGGGCCCACCCAAGAGCTCTGAGCCCCGAGCCCTGGCCTGACATTGGCAGGGGGTGGGCACGGGATGGCACTGACTCAGACCTTCCCAGGGTAGGTCACACACCACCTGCCTGGTGGATGATGCCTGGGGGACATGGACCCAGCTCTCAGGGGGTCCTCTGCCTTCTCACCAGCACGTCCCTGGCACCCTCTCAGGTCCTGGAGCATGGCCGTTCCTCCAATAGTTTATCTCTCTGATGCCACTTGGGTTGGAAAGGGGCAGAAATACTGCTGTGTCTGGCCCTGTGTGGTACCTCCAGGGGTGGGCATTCTGCTCATCTCAAGACTGACTCCCAAAGACAGGCATGGAGATGGCAGCAGTAGCCATGCCCGGAGCACCTGCTGAGAACACGGCCCCTCCCACAGCCACGCACCTTCACTTCCGACCCTGCACTTGGTCACGGTCCCTGTCACAGGTGGCACATGGTCAGGGCCCAGAGGGTGTGGCAACTCCATCATGAGCACTGAGCCGGGTTCCCTCCCCCGACTGCACCTGCAGGCACCCCCTTCATGGTCACAGCCCGGCAGCTGAAAGGAGGGAGGACAGCCAGGGGCAAGGTGGGGGCAGTGTAGGGGAGGACAGCCCTGGGCAGCAGGTGGGATTGGTGCTGCACGCTGATCCCATGCAGGGACACCAGCAGATGCGACACCCCACCTCCAGCAATGACATAGCTCCTGAGTGGGAATGCCCTTCTGGAATATTCCTTGGGTCCCAGAGGGCGAAACATGTGGCTTCTGCCTCCTCTCTGGCATCGTCGCAGTGCTCCCACCTTGTAAATGTCCCTGATTTTCCGTCGCAGCTCAATCTGCTTGTGGTGGAAATCAGTCCGGGTGATCGCGTTCTTGTCCAGCTTGCTCTGGCCTTCAGCCCGAATTACGATGGTCTCTCTGCGGGCGACAGCCTGTTCCATGCTGCGAATCATCTTCTCCTGCTGCTTCAGCAGCTGCTCGTACCTCACCTGGGTGCACAGGATGGAGGGGCTGGGGGCACTGCCAGGCAGCAGGGGCCTGGAAGCACCATGAGGAAAAGCAGAGGGAACTGGGAAGTCTGCCCAGAGCCTGCAGCTTGGTCAGCAGCCGTGTGCCCGGGCTAATCTCCTAGTTGTGACAGATGCTTCCTGGTTTCATGGGAAGCCGGTGGAGGGTCTGCAGGCCTGGGGCTGGGCTCAGGTTAGGGGGAGGACCGGCCGGGGGGCCCATGGGGGACTTTCGGAGCCACAGAAATATTCCACGTCATGTTTGTGGAGGTGATAATGCAGATGTACACATCTGCCAGAACCCTTCACACTGCATCTGAAATAAGCACATTTTTTTTATCCTTTGTAAGTTATGTTTAAAGCTAATTTAAACAAAAACAGGACTTCCCAAGAAAGGTGGAGGGAGATGGAACTTATCCAGGTTTAAACATTTATCATGAGGTGACAATAATGAAACCGTTGGTGCAGGCCTTGTCAAAGTGAGTGCGCCCCAGACCAGAGAGGGAGTGAAACAAGGACGGTCGCACTCGAGGGGGCTCCCGTGTGAGTGAGAGATGCGGCCGTCCAGAGAGACGGCACAGGGGACACACGCAATGCAGGCTGCTGACCCTCTCGGCAGCTGGGAGGAAATAGAGAGGGACCCAGGTTCACACCGTAAATTCCAGGCGGATCTAAACTCCAAGTATGTGTAAATAATCCACAGACCATGGGCATGTAACTGTGCATCTGCAGGCTGGGGGTGGGTGGGGCTGCTTTTACAGTTCAGGAAACCCAGAAGCCAGAAGAGTGAAAGACGGACACATTACACAACCTAAACGTTAAAAACCTGCATAGGGGCTGGGCACGTGGCTCCCACCTGCCCACCTGGGAGGCCAGGGCAGCAGGACCACCTCAGCCCAGGAGTTTGAGGTGGGCTGACGCCAGGGCCCAGGGTGACAGAGTGAGACTGTCTCAAAAAAAAAAAAAAATCTCTGTAGTAACGGACACTCAGAACAGGGGAAAAAGGCATATTATAGACTAGAGGCACTATTCTTAGTGAGTGTTAAAGAAGGGGGTTAATAGAACTCCTAAAAATTGTTGAAAGAAAGAAAGAAAGGAAGGGAAGAAAGGGAAGGGAAAGGAAGGGAAGGGAAGGGGAAGGGGAAGGGGGAAAGAAAGAAAAGAAAAGAAAAGAAAGAAAGAAAGAGAAAGAAAGAAAGAAAGCATCCCACTAGGAAAATGAGCCAGAGACGTAAACGCGCAACCTGCAGATGATCAGGCACAAACCCCGCAGCTGCGCATGCGCACCCCACACCCCAGCCTCCCCCAGGGCCCACCGGTTCGCCACGTCCAGCTCCGGGACCAGCAGTGCGGGTCCACCAGGACAGGGGCCTCTCTCCACACTCCGGACGTCATGAAGACGGTGACTGACTAGTGAGTTTAGCAGAGCCACAGAGAAAAGGCAATATACAAAAATCGATTGTATTTCTATACACTAGCAGTGAGCACTTGGAATTTGAAATTTCACAAAAATTGTTTAGAATAGCGCCAACAACACGTGTGCAGCCTGGATGCCGAAAACCCCCACAGCACTGACAGCGGAGTCAGCGCGACGGGGAGCCCAGCCCTGCCAGGAGTCTGTCCTTCTCTTCCTCTCTCTCCCACCTTCCCTCACTCTCTTCCCTCTCTAATATAAGATAAACTTATACTTGTGTATCTTTAAAAAAGATGTCAACTCTTCCTCCACTGATCTCAGCCAGGGCTTTTGTGGAAATTGATAAGCTGATTCTCAAATGTATATGGAAAGGCAAAATATGGGTGTCCCAAAGGTTGCCATACGTAGGGAAAATGGGAAGTTATAGCTAAATGTACCTTTATTTACAAAACACTCACTGCAAAGTCCTTTTTTTTTTTTTTTTTTTTTGAGACAGATCCTCAAGCTATCCCCCTGGGTAGAGTGCTATGGCATCACAGCTCACAGCAACCTCCAACTCCGGGGCTCAAGCGAGTCTCCTGCCGCTGCTGCCCAAGTAGCTGGGACCACAGGCGCCTGCCACAATTTTTTTTATTTTTTTTGGTTGCAGCCGTCATTGTTGTTTGGCAGGCCCAGGCTGGATTTGAACCTGCCACCTTAGGTGTATGTGGCTGGCACCTTAGCCATTTGAGCCACAGGTGCTGAGCCTGCAAAGTCTTAGAAAATACTTAAGAACTATTTCTCTGTGTTTGGTATACAAATATACAAATATAAAATACATGACTTTGTTAATTTTTACTATGTATGGTGACCTTTGGGACACATAATTTTGAAAAAGAAGATTAAGGTTGCAGGGATTTCATAAGTATAGAGTTGCAGGAACCAAGACGGGGCTGTTGGTAAAGGGCAGACACATAAGTCAGGGGCCCAGATGGCCCAGACGCAGAGCCACGCAGTGTGTCAGCTGATCTCAGCAGCACCGGACGCAGTTTGGTGAAGGTCAATCTTTTCAATCAGTGGGGGTGGAATGCAAAAAATTAACCCAAACCACAACTTGTACTGTATATAAAAATTAACTCAAAATAGGCCATGGACATAAATGTATAACCTAAAAGTATGAAGCTTCTGGAGAAAATACGAGAGAAAATCTTTGTGACCTTAGGCGAGGCACAGATGTTTTCATATGCTACAAAAACAACCCAGAAAACAACATGTGGAGCAGTTTGACTTTGCAGTGGAGTAATCTCACGTGTGTGGTGCTGAGCAGGGAGCCAGGCTCAGTAAGCCCCGCCTTTTCTGATCCATTTATGTTCTGGAAAAGCCAAAACCACAGGCACAGTAACAGGTTGCTGGTTGTCAGTGGTGGGGGTGTGCGTTGGGCTGACCACAGCAAGGAGCAGGAGGGAAAGTGAGGGTGATGGAATATTTCATGTCACGGTGTGGTGGTGGCTGCATGACTGCACGCCATCCTTGTCAAAACTCATAGTGTGAACAATTACTCAGTTTAAATACCTCAATTAAACCAGACCGAACCATGACACCCACGACCATCTGGGTGGTGGGACATAGCCACCGGCATGTACCTTTTGGAAAAGTTATCTGTCAGGCCCTATCATGGTTGAGGATTTCCATATTCTTTGACCCAGGAATCCCACCTTTGGGGAATCTAGTCTAGAGGAAGGAGGGGAAAAAAAGAACTGGTGAGTAAGGATGTTATTGTAACACATGGCAACATCCTGTGATGGTCTGATTTCACCCGTCAACTTGACTGGGCTAAGGGGTGCCCACATGGCTGGTGCACGTTATTTCTGGGGGTGTGGGAGGTGTTTCCAGAGGACATCAGTAGAGACTACACTTCCTTGCTAGGTGGACGGGCACCACCCAACCTCGAGGGGGAGAACAGAACAGAAAGGCAGAAGGGTGAATTCGCTCTCTCCTCAGGAGCTGGGACATGGGCTCCCCTTCTCAGGTCTGTGGATGTGGACTAAGTCTCAGACCCAGCTACCGTGGTCTGCAGCTTCTCGGCCCCCATGACTGTCTGAGCCGATCCCCATGGTAGAACTTTCGCTCTTCCTCTGTGTACACACACCCTGCTGCTTCTATTTCCCTGGAGGATCCTGACTGATACATGTTTTTGTAATGACAAAACAAAAACAAGAAGAACCTGAAAGCTATCTGACTTCTCACCAACCTGGGAATATTTCGATAAATTGTGATATGTGCACAGTATATTCTGCAACTGTCGAGGAAAGGGTTGATGCCCACAGAGTTAGAGAGTCATACAGAAACTGTTCTTACTACAGAAAACAAAATCGGGAAGCAGGCAGGGAGGCCAGCTTTGTCTGTGAGTGTCTGTGTGAGATCCGGGGAGCGGTGAGGCCCCTTTCCCCTGTGAGGGGCCCTGACTAAGGAGGGATTGGGGGGCAAGGAGGCAGGGGCCGGAGGGGTGCAGTGTGGGCAGATCTTTGGAGCCAGTGGGGTGTGCCCGCCAAGCCCGCCTGTGCCGTTCCCCTCCCACCTTCATCCTGTGGATCTCGGCCTTCATGGCTCGGATCTCTGTCTGGCCAACTTCAGAATCCACCGAGGAGCGCATCTCTTTTGCCAGCTGGATTTTCTTCTCCCAAAGCATAATCTGGTGTCTTTGGGGGTAGAACAGACGGTGTAAGAGCTAGAGAAGTGAGGAGTTTTCTTCTGATGATTCACCCCCTAAGGCCTCACCCAGCTCTCAAGCTACAATTACTTGACTCACTATGACAGAGACCAGGGGCTCATGAAGCCCGGTACGTCTGTCTACCATCTGGCTCCTTATAGAAGTGTCTGCCAGCCCGTCCTCCCTCCTTCCTCCCTCCCTTCCTCCCTCCCTTCCACGGAGTCTCACTCCTTTGCCCTTGGTTAAGTGTCTCAGCGTCACAGCTACAGCAACCTCAGACTCCAGGGCTCAAGAGATCCTCCTGCCTCCTGAGTAGCTGGGACTACAGGTGCCCACCATCACACTTGGCTAATTTTTCTATTTTTAGTACAGACTGGGGTCTCATCTTGCTAAGCTGGTCTGGAACTCCTGGGTTCAAGCAATCCTCCTGCCTCAGACTGTCATGTAGCTGGGACTACAGGCATCTGTCACAACATCTGGTTAATTTTTCTGTTTTTAGTAGAGATGGGGTCTCACGCTTGCTCAGGCTGGTCTTGGACTCCTGAGCTCAGGCGATTCACCCGCTTTGGCCTCCCAGTGTGCTGGGATTATAGTCGTGAGCCACCTCGCCTGGCCCAACCCTTAGTACTGACAAACCTCTGGTATATGAGGAAGACAGGGAAAGGGAGGGAGGGAGAGAACAGGAATATATAACCTTAGAAGCTGAGATAGTAAATAATTGATAAAAGTTGACTTAAGGAGAAGTAAAAAGCCTGAATAGACCAGTAATCTAAAGGCTATCAGAATGTCATCAAAAAGGTTGGGCGTGGTGGCTCACACCTGTAACCCCCACAGTCTGGGAGGCTGAGGCAGGAGGATTCCTCAAGCTCAGGAGCTCAAGACCAGCCTGAGCAAGAGCAAGACCCCGGCTCTACTAAAAATAGAAACAATTAACTGGGTATTGTGGCAGGCACCTGCAGTCCCCGCTACTTGGGAAGCTGAGGCATGGAGATTGCTTGAGCCCAAGAGTTTGAGGTTGCTGCGAGCTATGAAGTTGCCACCTAGGGTGAGGGAGTAAGACTCTATCTCAAAAGAAAAAAAAGTCACCAAAGACCCATGTCCCCCAAAGCCTTGGTCTAAAATGGATCTATCCCTAGAATCACAAAGGGCAGGTTGTCCCTCTGCTGTCTGTGACTTTCCTGAGACCTTGGACAAATCTCTGGGCCTCTGTAGCAGTCAGCCGGGCTGGAGCTGCAGGGCCGAGTGCAGGGCTTGCAGACACACAGAAGTGCACAGCTGCTCCAAAGGGGAACACACAGGACAAGCCCAATTTCATCGAAAGTGACCAAAGCAAGCAAGAAACATGCCCTACACATGGATTTTTGGTAAAGAAACAGTTGGAATTAAATGTGTTTCCCTTGCTACTGTGCACGTGTCATGGTTTAAAACGTTTCGAGTTGGATGTGTAGTACT